CTGCCTCCCCCCCCCCACACACACACACAGAGGGGGAAGCTTGCACATGGCGGCTGCCACCACCATCCACAACCCTGCTCCATGTGTGGCTGCAGCTCTGGGACCGGCTGTCGCTTCCCCCCCCACCTCGCCCAACTCCATGACCGGCTGCTGCTCCAGTTTCAAAAAATTCACATTTCCAGCAGGTGCTCAGTCCCGAGCATGCTGGATTTATAAGATTATACTGTATATCTAAATGCTTTATGGCTATTCTAATTTTAAATGTTCTGTGCAAGTTCCTCATAAAATTTGTATGAGGACAATTTAGGAGAGTTCACTGTAAGGAAGATGTTTCTGGTTCTCTTTCCCTTAATTTCATGTCCTTTGTATATCTTTGCATGGCCCCTTTCATTCTCAGCCTGTGGGTTTGTCTTGTTTGTAGAATTGCATCTATCCAGCTTTCTGGCTAAAACTTAAACGTGAGCACAGGGCAAAACCTGTCTTAAAGAATTAGTCCCAAGCCAAGACAGTTACCAAATCCTGTAGCCTTTCGGGCCTAGAGTTTCTGAAGCAGAATTGAGAACTGCTTGCTTTGAGCACTTAGCCGGCAATCTTACATCATGTCGTTCTCAGCGGTGGCCCCTCAGCTGATCACAGCTGCTAAAGGGGAGCGACAGAATGATGACGGGCCACAGTCCAGTACCTTTAGACATTATCCCAAAATCAAATGGAAGTCAGTACAGTTCTCTTGGATCTGGTGAAGCTTGCCTGCTGTACGAAATACAGCTTTAGCAAGCAGACACAGCTGCAGCTTCTGAGTAGTCTCAAGGCAGCATTACGCTTGGTGGTAACCTGACCTCCAAGTGGCAGAAACTTCAGGTAGTTACAGGGAGGACTCCATCTGCACACATACAAAGTGATATGGGTGGGGGCAGGAATCTCTTGCAACTCCTATGCCCTGAATACCCAATGACTGTGCAGCCTAACACTGCCGTTGCAAGCTGTATGGCTGTCAAAGCATGACTGGCATTGCTAGAATGGCATAATTATAATATGAGTCCTGCTAGTAATGACCAGTAAGTAGCCCAACCCTTTCATTAGAGGCTGTTGATGCATATTTGGTAGAACTGTGGGGTTACAGTGGTCAGAGAAGGACAGTTTTTGGTGTAGAAATTTGTGGTTAGCAATTAATGTAGGACATTTCTGTTTCTAAAGGGCATAACAGCAAACTCATCATCAGTGTCAAAGAGCAAGAAAAGTGGTTAACAGGAAGGACTGAGGGAAAAAATGGATGATTGTGGGTTACTTTCTCTTACTTTTTGTTTTTCCACCTCTCTTCCCTTCTGTCTGATTGGTATTCAAGTTACTTTACTACTTTACTTTACTTACTACTTCTTACGAGTTTCCCGACCCATTTGGTCTACCAGAGACCTCCGTGGTAGTAGTTCATTCCACCAGGAGTCGGTGGCATCCTTTTACATTTGGAGTCACTGAAACACCATTTTGTGTTGCATCTTCCTGCTTTTGGTGTTTCTGATGAGAGGTATGCCCCTTTCCTCCCCTTATTCCCTCATGCCTGTGTCTTAACAGCTTTTTGAGGTGCAAACTGCAGAGGACTGAAATGCTTCAGTCTACATCACACTTTGCAGTAGGGTCCTTATGCTTTTTTCCCTTCTTTTTAATTTACCATTGTTCAAAAGCTGCTTCTTTTTTGATACTTTCAATTGGGCAGTTCCTTTCCCTTACTGTTAGCATGAGAAAAGTAGCTTGAAGGTAACTGGTGCACTCAGAAAACTACATGTTAGCAGCTTGCAGGTGTAACTCTATGAAGCTGTGCTCCATACAGGCTACCCCAGGGTCAGGTCAACACTATCCTTATGGTCTCTGAGAAACTCCCTATGAACTTGCAAAGAACAATTTTTCCAATTATTTCAGTTGGTCTAGTAAAAGATACTAGATTTACCCAAAGAGCCTTGTCTGCCTATGTCCTTAGACCGACACAGCTACAACCTACACCCCTATGAACTGTAGGGGTTTTTGTGGGTGGTTCAGTAGATGGTGCTGTTCTCCTAGCGTGTGCTCTGAACTGACATCCAGTTGTCTTGATGGTCTGTGCTGTGCTCCTGGATACACCTGACCATCAGCTGCCACCCACACAAGACCTGTGGTTTTTACAGTTCTTGGTTTCTAAGGTAGCGTGACCCTTTGTAATAGGCAGATGGTCCTGGCATTTGTCCAAATTCCACTTTTACTAAATAACTTGTATTGCCTAAATTCTTCAGGCATCTTCAAGGAGAGGGGATTCTTAACTTTCACTAACAAAGAGTGGGGTGAGGCACCTATATGTACTGGAATGATACAGTATGCTTGCAACATAGGATGCTGTGAAGTTTAATTAGTGGAGTCTGCACATATATTTTTTTTTACTGAAGCAATAAGTGCTACAGTGTGTGATTACTTTACCTCTATTAGTGAGGTATTGTCTAGATAAATCTAAGTCCACTTCTTAGTGATAAGACACAGAAGCACAGAGAAGTGAATTAGCTTGTCCGAGGAATTAGCTGACAGCACTGGAAATGGATCTAATCTAATTTCAGTACAAAATCATCCTTCTTCAGTGCTATTTGATTTTTGAAAGAAAGGTGATTCTCTTTTTTATTATTATTATTATTAACTGAGTGGAAAGTATACTGTTTTGCTATGGTGTCAACCTCAAAACCTATTTAATTAGTAACATATAATAGGAAAGGCCACACATTAGAAACCTGCTATCCATACATTGAAACTGGGGGGGGGGGGCTAATCTTGTGAGAGAGGTGTTTTCAGGCTCAGATTTATATCTCGTTGCCAGATTTCCTCACCTCCTATATTACCTTACTGCAGAAATGGTTCCCTTGAATTTGGCCAGATCAGTTGTGAGCCAGGCCCCATCTTTATGCAGATGTTGTATTTTCTCGCATATAGCACATCCCAGAATTTAATACACAGTCTGGTTTTGAAAGACAACGCTAAGAAAATTAAAATTCTTAACTTGTAGTACAGATAAATCACTGATGAGCAGCAGTTAGGAAGCAGAGCCTACTCCAGAACCTGCTGCCAGGTCTGCGTTCTGAATGGGGGCTGTGGACTGAGCCCACGTGCTGGCTGATCCAGTGCTGCTGGTTTTGGGGCTGTGCGCAGGGTCCGACCTTGTGTGTTGGCCTAATCTGGCATTCTAGGTCTGGGGCTGCGTGCTAGCTCCAACCATGGTTAGACCGTATGTTCTGGCCCAGTCCAACATACAGGGCATGTCGTCTGGTCAGGGGCTCCCCACAAGTCCAGAAATTTGGTGGCAGGGAAGCAGTGTTAACTGCTGCAGTTTCCCCACCACCAACTTTTTAGACTTGTGGAGTTCCCTATTCCCTGCATATAATACACATTCTAATTCCCCCAGCTAGTTTTGGAGGAAAAGGTGCATATTTTGTGGGAGAAAATATTGTGATTGGTTTTAGAATATGGCCCTTTTCACACTAATTTTATATAATTTTGGGCAGAGTTGAGTTTCCGTATTCTATTGTTTTGCAATGCCCCTATTGTGTTTCAGCACACCTTTTGCTATCCATATCATGTTATTTTTCCACTAGTGTTTGAATAGAGTACATGTTTTTGAATTTAGCAACACAAGGGATTTCCTCCTACAAAATTAGGCCCTTGGACCTTTTCATAGATTCATAGACATTAGGGGCTGGAAGGTAAGATCGTCGAGTCCAGCCCCCTGCCATAGGCAGGAAGTCTGCTGGGTTCAAATGACCCCTGAAAGATAAGCATTCAGATGCCATTTGAATGAGTCCAGAGTAGGTGCTTGCACCACCTCTGGGGGGAGTCTGTTCCAGACCCCAGACACTCGAACTGTAAAGAAGTTTTTCCGTAGGTTGAGTCTAAATCGGCCTTCCAGAAGTTTGTGGCCTTTAGACCTTGTTCACCAGTACTCCCCAAGGGGTAACAGCTGTTCTCCCAGATCCTGGTGCACCCCCCCTTATGTACTTATAGGCTGCCACCAAGTCCCCCCTGAGCCTTCTCTTCTCTAGAATGAAGAGTCCCATGTCCCTCAGCCTCTCTTCGTAAGAGTTGCTCTCTTGGCCTTTGATCATGCAGGTGGCTCTCCTTATTCTGAGAGAACATAGTGAAGTCTATATACAGATTGCAAGATCAGGCTCTCAGATATTTTGGTGCAGAAATGTAATGAGAAGCTAACGTGCTTATTCCTTTGCTTTTCAGGAGGCCTCCTCATCTGTTTGCCACGTGAACAGGCTGCACGTTTCTGTGCTGAGATCAAATCTCCCAAGTACGGCGAGGGTCACCAAGCATGGATCATTGGGATCGTAGAGAAGGGGAACCGCACTGCCAGAATTATAGATAAACCACGAATCATTGAAGTTGCACCGCAAGTGGCCACTCAAAACGTGAACCCAACACCTGGTGCCACTTCTTAATCTAGACAAAATAGCAATTTGTTTTGTTTTTAAATAGATCTATTCCTTTATCATCCTACAATTTAAAGAACTGTAAAAAGAAAAAAAAAAAGAAACTCATTGTGTCTGCACATCTGGTGGCCTTAGGTCAGTTTATGAGTGGATACAATTAATAAAATAAAATCCATTGCCTTTTTTTCCTGTTACATTAACTGAAGATGCACCTAATCTTGAGGCAGCTTCTGAGTTGAGAAATATATTGTTATCCAATACTGTTGATTCATTTTGAATCTTTAGACACTTATCTCTTGCCGCATAGGCTTTTTTTAAAGGTGCTTTCACGTAGCACAGACATTACCAGTAGTAGTGTCGAATAGCAGTTTGTGTCCTTTCATTGTATGTATATTTATCATTATAAGTCTAATTTTGGATGCCTTGAATGATATTCCGAAGAGGCAATAAATTGAGAAGTGACACATTGGGTTATACCCAGTAGTGAGAAGGTTGCATGATTAATCCAATCTTTGATTTGTAAAGTTTAGTCTTACCCAAGAGCATCTACATCCCTGGTCACTGCTTGGTAGCACACTCTGTTAAACGAACAAGTGCTGACTTTGCATGGAAAGCGCTTCAGAGTTGAAGGAGAAATTTTTAATTTCATTATTTGTAGACATGACAATATTTACTGTATTATCAATAATTGTTTTTTTATTGATAGTAAGGAGAAAAATAATTGCTCTTTTTTTGCAATGTGATTGGATGTGCTATAGTGCAACAAGGTATAGCAGACCAAAAGGGGATTACTGTATAATATTCATTTACAATTCACTATATAATTAACTACACATTTTTTAAATATAATCAATCTAAAATAAACCTCTGTTCTGTGGATGGTAGTGTTTAATACATTTTATATTTTGTATAGTGATTACCAGCCATTTTTGTTTCTTTAAAATCAGCAGCTGTTTAGTATAATTCTTAGTATTATTTTGTTCTTTGCTCAAATACATTTTTGTGCACGCTTTTGTGATCTGTACCATGTGCTTTCTAATAATGACACAAAAATATCAAAGACACTCAGACTTAAAATTAAGATAACTGAATATTTATATTAAAAAGTTACCCAAGTTAAGATGATTGTTTTTTCTTATGAAAAAATGTTTGTAAATTCAAATGGAAGATTCCTCAAGTATTATTACAGTTTTGCA